TCTTGACTTTGGCTCAGGTCATGATCTCACAGTTTGTGGGATCGAGCCCTACACTGGGCTTGGCACTGGTAACACGGTGCCTGTTTGGGATTCTCTCTCTCTCCCTCCCTCGCTTGCGGCTCTCTCTTAAAATAGATAAACGGAAAAACAAAACAAGGGGTGCCTGGGTGACTCAGTAGGTTAAAAAACCGGCTCTTGGTCTTGGCTCAGGTCATGATGTCACAGTTCGTGGATTCAAGCCCTGTGTTGGGCTCTGCGCTGACAGTGCGGAGCCTGCTTGGGATTCTCGCTCTTCCTCTCTCTGCCCCTCCCCCACTCATGCTTGTGCTCACTCGCTCTCTCTCTCTGAATAAACATTTCTGAAAAATCCGTATCTTAAAAAAAAAAATCAGTACTTTCCTCTGCATAAGTGAGAATCAGTTAGATAATAAAACGGGAAATATCCTGTTTATGAAAGCAAAAATGACCAGCACAACAGTATTAAATACTTAGGAATACCATGAAGAAATGTACAAGATCAACATGGAAAAGTCTGTAAAGTCGACAGAGGAACACCACGGCCCGAATAAGTGGAACCTACCAGCAGTTCTTGGACGGACGGTCTCAGTGTTACAAACACGTCATAGGACATAAAGTAATTCATATTAGTGTGAAACCAATAAAAATCCCAACAAAATTTTTCTCCTAGTCGGGGTCACTCTAAAGTTCCTATGGAAAAATAATTGTGCAAGAAGGGGCACCTGGGTGGCTCGATTGGTTAAGCGTCTGACTCTTGATTTCAGCTCCGGTCATGGTCTCCCGGTTCGTGAGTTCGAGCCCCACATCGGGCTCCACGCTGACAGTGCAGTGCCTGCTTGGGATTCTCTCTCCCTCGCTCTCTGCCCCTCCCCCACTCATGCTCTCCCTCTCTCTCTCTCTCTCTCTCTCTCTCGCAAAATAAGCAAACTTAAAAAAAAAAAAGTGCAAGGATACTTTTGAGAACCTAAGAAAAGGATATGTAATAATATCTTACCAGATACGAAAACACTATGTAAAAGCATATTAAACAATTTGACACTGGCACATACAGGGACATACTAGACAGAGGGAGATGCAAAGTCTAGAAATAATCCCAAATATATACAGGAACGTAGCTTGTGATGCAGGCAGCATCTTAATTTTTTTTTTAATTTTTTAACGTATATTTACTTATTTTGAGAGTGAGCGCGAGCAGGGAAGGGGTACAGGAAGAAAAGAGAATCCCAACACACCCAGCGAGGAGCCCGACAGGGGACTGGATCATGCGACCTCGAGATCATGACCTGAGCCGGCCAAGAGCTGGATGCAGGCAGCATTTTAAATCGTGATGGACCACTCAGTCAATGAGACCAGGACCACTAAGTAGTCCTCTGGGAAAAATCAAGGCTGCAGTCTCACCTAATCCCTTACTCCAAAATAAATCCCAGATGAAGTGAAAATTGAAGCATTAAAAAAAAAATGAATTAAATACACGTGAATTCAAAAACTATAAATGTCAGACTAAGGAAGATCTTTCTGAGTAAGTATAAACCCAGGGAGTGCTAAAAGGAAAGAGTTGTATTTGACCCTTCAATTTTTTTCAGTCCTGCATGGTAAAAAATGCAGAAACAGAGTCAAAAAAACAAGCTACAAACTGAGAAAAATTACAATCAATATAAACAGGCCAAATGGCTAATATTCTTAGCATATAAAAAATTCTTATGAGGGGCGCCTGGTCATGATCTCGCGGTTCGTGAGTTCGAGCCCCGTGTCGGGCTCTGTGCTGATGGCTCAGAGCCTGGAGCCTGTTTCGGATTCTGTGTCTCCCTCTCTCTCTGCCCCTCCCCCGTTCATGCTCTGTCTCTCTCTGTCTCAAGAATAAATAAACGTTAAAAAAAAAAATTAAAAAAAAAAATTCTTATGAACGAATAAGAAAATGATCAACAGTCTAACAGAAAATAGGAAAAAAGACAAACAGTTTATGGGAAAGAAATCGTTTTTCTCTTCTCTTCTTTGATTATTCATTTATTTATCTTTTTTTTTAATTTTTTTTAACTTTTTTTTATTTTTTTATTTTTGAGACAGAGAGAGACAGAGCATGCAGGGGAGAGGGGCAGAGAGAGAAGGAGACACAGAATCGGAAGCAGGCTCCAGGCCCTGAGCCATCAGCCCAGAGCCCGATGCGGGGCTCGAACTCACAGACCGCGAGATCGTGACCTGAGCTGAAGTCGGACGCCCAACCGACTGCGCCACCCAGGCGCCCCTATTTATCTTTAAAAGTAGGTTTCACATCCAGCACCAAGCTCCGCACGGGGCTTGAACTCATGACCCTGGGATCAAGACCGGAGCTGAGATCAAGAGTCAGATGCTTAACCAACTGAGCCACCCAGGAGGCCCCAAGAAATCATTTTTAAACCTCTGTGAAAAGTACTCGAGGTCACTCACAGATGAAATGCCAACGAAAACCAGGAAGATGCTATTATCGGATCGGCAAAAATCAGACGCTTGGTTCCGTGCGGAGCAGCAAACGCTGGGGAAACAGGCACCGGGACGGGCTGTGGGGAGAGCACACCAGCCAGCACGGGGCCTCTGAGAACGAGGTGGGACTGCTGTGCAATGTTTAACTGCTGCAACCACGGGGATGGGGCTGGAGGGTGTTATGCTAAGTGAAATTAGTCAGAGAAAGACAGATACCGTATGACTTCACTCATATGAGGACTTTAAGAGACCAAACAGATGAACATAAGGGAAGGGAAGCAAAAAGAATATAAAAACGGAGGGGGACAAAACAGAAGAGACTCTTAAATACGGAGAACAAACTGAGGGCTGCTGGAGGGGCTGTGGCCGGGGGGTGGGCTAAACGGGGAAGGGGCATTAGGGAGGGTACTTGCTGGCATGAGCACTGGGTGTTATACGTGGGGGGTGAATCACTGGAATCTACTCCTGAAATCATTATTGCACTAGATGCCAAGTAACTTGGAGATAAATTAAAAGCAAATAAAGCCAAACAAAACGTTTAAATGTGCACATCCTGTGATCTGGCAGTTTCACATGTCAGGCATCTGTCCTAGAAAAACACCTGCCAGTTTATACAGACAGGCCTGGGGTGTTCACGACACCATTATCTGTACTAGTAAAAACTTAGAAACCAATTAAATGCCCGTAAGCCAGAGAACGTACAAACTACGGTATCGTAAGGCTCAATAATATATAACGGTAAAAAGAAAGCAAACACTGAAGTCTACCTATCATCTACCTCAATCAATCAGCATGGCCAAATCTCAAAAACAGACTTAATTAAAAAAAATTTTTGTTTTAATCTTTATTTATTTTTGAGAGAGAGAGAGACAGAGCGTGAGCAAGGGAGGGGCAGAGAGAGGGAGACACAGAATCCGAAGCAGGCTCCAGGCTCCGAGCTGTCAGCACAGAGCCCCATGTGGGGCTTGAACTCACGGATGGTGAGATCACGATCTGAGCCGAAGTCAGATGCTTAACCAACTGAGCCACCCAGGTGCCCCAATTTTTTTTTTTTAAACGTTTGTTTATTTTCCAGAGAGAAAGAGAGAGAGGGCGCGCACGCAAGTCGGGGAGGGGCAAAGAGAGAGGGTCAGAGGATCCAAAGCAGGCTCTGTGCTGACATCAGCGAGCCGATGCAGGGGCTTGAACTCGCAAACCACGAGAGCATGAACTGAGCCAATGTCAGACGCTTTACTGACTGAGCCACCTACGCACCCCCAAAACAGACTTTTAAATGAAAAACTAAATTACAGAATGATGTGTATGTTATCATGAAAATAATACTACAAATAGAATTTTAAAACCAGAAACATTAAAGAATACCACATATTTTCTGTGAACACCTATTTAAAGTTTTAGAAAAGCCCTAGAAAGACCTAAAAGGATAATCAAACTCATGACAGCAGTCACTAGTTACTAAAGGAAGCATACCTAGGGAACGGGTAGAGGTAAAAATTAACGATTGGAAAAATTGTAAATTTACAGAAAAGTTGTGAAGATATGCCCCTCACCCAGCTCTAATGTTAACACCTTCCATAACCATGGTTTGTCAAAACTAAGACGTTAGTAGTGGCACAACAGTATTAACTAAACTACAGACTTTACCACTAATGTCCTTTTCCTGTCCCAGAATCCAATTCGGGATAGCACATCATACTTCAAAAAATGAACTTTTTGGGGTGCCTGGGTGGCTCAGTCGGTTCATCACCTGACTCTTGGTTTCAGCTCAGGTCATGAGCTCATGGTTCGTGAGATTGAGCCCCACATCAGGCTCTGGGCTGACAGCGTGGAGCCTGCTTGGGATTCTCTCTCTCTGCCCTTTGCCTGTGAGTGCTCTCTCTCTCTCTCAAAAATAAATGTTTAAACACACACACACACACACACACACACACACACACACACACAAAACATACTTTCCAGTCATTAAGTAAAATGTTTTCTCCCCTCTCATTTCTTTACAAAACTCTGAACTGACAAATTCTATTACCAAATCCTACTTGTTTTCAGTCCACTCTCCTCTCCATGCTTGCAAGTGTGCATTTGTGAGACAGGTCTGGCTTTCTACGGTGGGAAAAAGTCCACCAATAAAAATAATGGCCTTTCTAGGTCACTAATACAGGAGCTGAGTTGGAGCGCTGACTTAAGAACTTGTTACTTGAGGGGCGCCTGGGTGGCGCAGTCGGTTAAGCGTCCGACTTCAGCCAGGTCACGATCTCGCGGTCCGGGAGTTCGAGCCCCGCGTCAGGCTCTGGGCTGATGGCTCAGAGCCTGGAGCCTGTTTCCGATTGTGTCTCCCTCTCTCTCTGCCCCTCCCCCGTTCATGCTCTGTCTCTCTCTGTCCCCAAAATAAATAAACGTTGAAAAAAAAAAATTAAAAAAAAAAAACTTGTTACTTGAGACGTAACAGAATAATAAAAACAAACCTGATCACGTGAGCACTTGCTCGCCTCCCTTCCCGTGGAACAAAATGCTTGTGACACACGTACCTGCGGGACCATCGCCACTCTCTGGTTTCTTTTAGGGGACCTGGTATTTATTTGTCTGTCGTCTTCATCAGAAAAGAGTCGACTTCGCTTTGAGTTTCTGAAAGGCTAGGATAGAAATTTGTTTCTTTAATAAAAAGACCGAACACTTCTCATTTTTCTTCCAAAATCTAATCCTGTACCTGGGTGATCCAGCTGAGGCTGGAAGGATGGAGTGTCGGTGATACCAAGCGCTCAAAGTCAGACGTGACTGATCTTAGATTTACAGAGCAGTGACGTGCATACTGATGCAATCTGTTTACAATTCAAACACCTAGCTGATGAGTAAAATTGGAGCCCAAGTGGCCTTAGAAGCCTTGAACGTGCAAGAGGAAAGTAAGCTCTGACAATTCCAGACCTCGTCGGGTCAGTGCTCAGACTGACAGCAGGGGGTGTATCATACGGCGTCCGCCGCACAGGGCTGGGCTGGACAAAGTTACTACATCACGCGAGAGACTCAACTGAAACGCGTAATAACATACTAGACACTCTGTCGAGAACTGTTACCCGAATTTCCATTTGTGAACAAAAGCACAAGATTCCTATCTTGGGTATCTGATAAGCGCCCGGAGAACCGAACTAGACCACAGAACCAGAACTAACTGGCTTAAGTGCCCAAAAGACACCATACGCTTAGGGGTCAGTAATACGAACAATTTTACAGTCCACCCTGGGTTCGGAGGCCTCGGCAACAGAGAAGGACAACAGAAGTAATATCCCAATCGTACCCACATCCTGTTTCAAATCCTTGTCCCAGCACTGGACACGGTCTCCCGCCCAGCTGGAAGGGAGGTAGGCACAGAGGGTTCACAGCATACGGCCAGCATCCGACAGAGTCAAGGCTAGAGGTGCCGGGCCTTGAAATTAAACCCACCGAGAGTCTTAACACCCCATAGCCCTGGCAGGAAGTCCCTTCTATCATACCTGTACTTACCCTTGACCTACGTGAGATTTTGAGATCTTACCACTTACTTCTATATCTTTTTGCAGGGAGCATGTGACATTTTCTGTATTCTAAATAAAGTATGACTTGGAGTGATCAGAGGTTGGTGTGTGTGGTTGTTTGTTTGTTTGTTTTTCGTCTCGCCTACTAAAGACAGTGCAATTGCTTAATAAATGCCTGATGGCCAGATTATCAAAGGCTACTGATGGAGTATGATCGTACACTACTCAATGACACTTAAAGACTCAAATGCCTGGAGATGGGGAAAACCTTGGGAAACTCTTGCTGTCCTGTAAGAATCTGCACATGACAATAATACAGACAATTTAGCTCTCATATTCTAAAGAGTAAGAAACACTAATTCCTTACCATTTCCACAGTAGACCCCGTGTTCCTGCCTTTCCAAACAGGTGTTTTTTGTAAAGAGCTGTACTTTTCATTCCGTGTGTTAGATAAGCTTCCCTCTGTAATAAGTAATTATTACTAATAAGATTTAAGTTCAAAGGATTTTATACTACAAACATTGCCTTTTTATTAACAGCAATATATCTGAAATATTTACCAATATGGAAAAAATATACTGAGCATAGTAATTTTGGTTTATTACAAATGAAAAATCTCTTCCGTATTTTTTTTTTGTCAAGCGCTAAATAATCGGACAAGGCACTGAATCTTGAAAGTGTTAAATTCTCCTATTAAAATATGTGTGGTTTCTTTCTTTGTGTTTTAGTAATTCCTTCATTCTAATTTGCTAAGAATAAGAAGCACAATCTGATTGAAAACAGGCAGTGGAAAAATGGAAAAAGCTTCTGACTTTGAATTTAGAGTATATTTCTAAACGTTTCCTGCTTCGATATGTGAAACCTTGGCTATACAAAAATAAAACGTGTGGGTGTTTCTGTTTTCCTTGATTCAAAGAAATGTCTTCAGAGCTATCTGCAACCGGAAACAATCCGATCAGGTAACTGATGAGAGATATTATGAAAATAAAGAGAGCGAGCTCAATTTTTACAAAAAGGATATGTTTATATAAAGACACAGAAAACTAGGATGAATACACACAGACAGTTATTTTTATTTCCTTCTAGGTGCTCATCAGCATTTTCTAACCGTTTTCTGTAAGAAATATATCACTTGTACATGTACTTTTTGAAAGCGAAATGGTTTTAATATTCGGAGGAAAAGAATAACGGAATACTTTTTTCAGATGTACATTTTAAGAAGCACAAAAAAGGCAGAGTGGGGCCGACCCTGCCAGGCAAACACATCAGGGTAGTCGTAGACACAAGCGTTCTCAAGCGGGGACTTAATGCGGAAAATCACCGACACAACACACAACACAGTAGCTCTAAAAACTAAAAGTACTGAACAAGTACTGAAAGTACTCTGAGCATAGCCTGGTTCAGGATTTACTTACCCGGCAGAATCCTGCTCAAGCAAAATCTCAAAACAAACTACAGTAAGAGGGGTGGCCAGTGTACGTCAGAAAGAAAGAGCAAGACCAAGGAACATGTACAACTTTTCTTCCGAGAAAAGTACTATCATTCTTTTATTTCAAGAGACTTACATTATTATTTTTAAGGCCAGATTCCTAAGAAATAAACTCATGCAAAAATACAGCTGAGCACAGTTGTTCAATAAAATACTTTCACTCTAGGGGCGCCTGGGTGGCTCAATGGGTTGAGCATCCGACTTTGGCTGGGGTCATGATCTCACAGTTCGTGGGTTCGAGCCCCGTGTCAGGCTTTGTGCTGACAGCTCAGAGCCTGCTTTGGATTCTCTGTCTCCCTCTCCCTGACCCTACCCCACTTGTGCTCTCTCTCTCTCAAAAATAAATAAGCATTTTTTAAAAGCCTTAATTAAAAAATGCTTTCACTCTACTATGATGTCTGCAATGTTTACTTAAAAAGTTCTTGGGGGTTGGGGCACCTGGCTGGTTCAGCCGGTAGAGTGTGTGATTCCTGATGTGGGGGTCATAAGTTTGGGCCCCACATTGGGGGTAGAGATTACCTGCAAATTATAAAAAAGTTATTTAATCAATAATTCTAGAGAAAATTTTTCTATGTCTTTTTAAGATTTTATTATTCATAAGTAATCTCTACACCCGCTGTGGGGCTCAAACTCACAACCCTGAGATCAAGAGTCGCATGCTCTACCGACTGAGCCAGCCGGGCACCCCAGGGGAAAAAATTTCTTAGTAATTTCCAACAACCAAGGACCAATTCTCCTATAACAGTCTATGAATTTAAAATTTCATCAGTGAAAACCAATACTTAAAAGTTAGAATGAAGCCTAATTTAGAAAGAAAAGAGAAACATTGTATCCCCGTTAATTTAATGAATTAAATTTCCACCTTATGCCATACCTGAAGGATCGCGCTATGATCTTACCTTTTAAACTGACAAGGGCTTTTGCTGAAGAGCCTGCAAGGAAAACAAATCAGTGTTATCTCAGAATCGACATGAGACAAACAGAACTTGGCTACAGGGCGAAAGTGGCCCATCTGGTTTTAGGGGCGTAGAGACTGAAGTGGCAGGGGGGTGTGCAATCAGACGGAACCAGAGCTGGGGCACCTGGGGGGCTCAGTCGGGTAAGCGTCTGACTCTCAATTTCAGCTCAGGTCGTGATCTCACGGCTCCTGGGATGGAGCCCCACGGCGGGCTTTGCGCTGACAGCTCAGAGCCTGCTTGGGATTCTCTCTCTTCCCCCCTCCCTCCCTCTCTGTCCCCCCTCCGTTTGCACTCCTCTCTCTCTCGAAAATAAACACACATGAAAAAAATAGAAAGAAAGAACCAGCGGGCCATCCCAGCTGCAGGCCAGAACTCAGGCAAAGTAAGGACAAGCTAGAGAGAGCTATCGGGAGTCCTGTGGAAGTTGTGAGAGTTGGGGGAGGGAAGGCAGGGAAGCGTCGGCACAGAGGGATTTGGGATCCTCACCCAGAAGTGTCCTGGTGCTGGAGAAGGAAAAGAGAAAGGAACACGGCCATTTACTGAAGCAAAGATCAGCAGTGGCAGCGGAGTGGAGAGAAGAGAAGGTGCAAAGGATCCAGCGGGACTGTCAATCAGGCCGGGGGTCCCCTGGGAGTCTAGAATGCAGGTGTGTGCACCCTTCAGGACTCCCCAGCTGGAGTCAGAGCAGCCCAGAGGGGCTGGCACACAGCTGGAGGGCTCTCTGACGAAAACACGCCTTCGTGTGTATTTGAGTAACCCGGAGGCTCCTCACACACCCAGAATCTGTTGTCAATAAAGGTCCGAGGGGCTCTGTCGCGGGGAACCCTCAGCCCCCCTCTAAACAGCCGGCCTCCAGGCTCTGGTCGCTGTCCTGTGGGCGCTGGGGGCGAGTGGAAGCGGAGAAACCACAGGGAAGTACATGTTGATGAGGCAGGGAGCGCGTTACATTGAAAGTATCAGAACTGGCTACGTATATTGCAAAGAAGTCCAGGTCACTTGCAAAATAATAGGGGCACCTGGGTGGCTCAGTTGAGTGTCTGACTGCGGTTCAGGTCACGATCTCTCGGTTCGTGATTTCGAGTCCTGCATCAGGCTCTGTGCCGACAGCTCGGAGCCTGGAGCCTGCTTCGGATTCTGGGTCTCCCTCTCTCTCTGCCCCTCCCCCCTCTCAAAAATAAATAAACATTAAAAAAATTAAAAACAAACAAAAAGTCACACCCGAACTCACAGACACAGCGAACAGTTTGGTGGTTGCCAAAAGCGAGGGCTGGGCTGGGGGTGTGGGCAAAATGGGCAGAAGTATCAAAAAGGCACTAACTTCCGGCTATAAGAGAAATAAACGCTGGAGATGTGATGCACAGCACAGCAACATGAACGCTGCTAAGAAAGCAGATCTGAAAAGTGCTCGTGGTAGGAGAAAAAAGCGTAACCACGGGTGGTGATGGATGTTGACTAACCCATGTGAGATGATCACTTCACATGTGTCAAGTCATGATGTTGCACTCCTGAAACTAACACAACGTTAAGTATCAATTTTATCTCAATGTTGAAAAATCAACAAGAAAACCCTTTCTCTGCTCCAGAATAGAAACTGTTCACAGAATTCCAGATGAGCAAAAACTCCCTCTTTTAACTTTAAAAACAAAAACAAAACTGTTGAGAACACCTTTTTTTTCTGTTACTACAGTCATAGTCAAATTATTACATATCATTCCTCATTTTTAAGTCTGTTTCATTAAAAAAATTTTTTTAATATTTATTTTTGAGAGAGAGAGAGAGAGAGAGAGAGAGAGAGAGAGACAGAGCATGAGTGGGGGAGGGACAGAGAGAGAGGGAGCCACAGAATCCAAAGCAGGCTCCGGGCTCTGAGCTGTCAGCACAGAGCCAGACACGGGGCTCGAACTCACAGACCGCGAGATCATGACCTGAGCCGAAGTCGGACGCTTAACCGACTGAGCAACCCAGGCGCCCATAAGTCTGTTTTATTTTAGAACCAGCTACTTCTCATCTCAGTTACTGTGACACCCATTTATGTTTGATGGAATATAATCTACAATCAGGCAGCAGTTAAGTTATTCAAAAGTTTGGTCATTTACCTGCACTGAGAAAAGACAAAATTTTAAATGGCATGTTCAAAATGTGTATAAACATCTTTAAGGAGCCAATCCGTTAGGGCATTTCCTAAAACACAAAAACAAATACAGGATGATCTCGGGGGATAAAGTAAGAAAGAGGATTATGAACTAGGTAAAAAATCAGAGAAGGCAGAGTCATTCTCCTTGTTGTTTAAAGGAAAGAAGCAGCCATGATTCACAACTCGTACGAATGGACAACAGACTTGAAATGAAAAGCCACGGATAAGGTACGGCAGTTCTGGCTACGAAACGTTCTCACGCAGCTCAGATCCCGAACCTCAGCCGACTTTTCCTCCGCAGGCAGGATGAGAGAGGCTTGTAGAAACAGACACGCCATCAACACCAAAGCCACTCTTGCTCTCACTCGACTCTCTTGCCTCGATGTGGAGAACGGGTGGGTAACAGGACACCTTAACAGCCTCCAAGCAGCAGCCGGGTTTAATGACGGCGGAAGTAGAAGCATGGGGAAGAAGTGAGGGAGCGAGGCCATAAAGTCTAGCTAAAAAGCCTCACGCAGCACAACGTGACGGGGAAGCAGCTGGCGGACAGGGCACGTATCCACCTGGCTGCCAAGAGAATCTGGTTGGTTTTGGAAAGAGCAGTGAGCATTCACTCCCCCGGCGAATACGCAGAGTGCTGACTGCACCCCCGGTCCCTGCTCGAGGCACTGGGGCTTCGACAGCAACGCAGAAGAGCCAAAGGCCCCACTGTCATGCACTTCACATTCTAAGGAGGGGAGATGAACAGATACATCGAGTGGTGATAAGCACTGGGCCGGGACGGAGGGGTGGGGGGAGCGGGGGCAGGATATCAGGAACGTGGGCAGGGGGTGGGAGCGGGAAGACTGTTTCCATGAGGTGCTCGTGATCAGTTAGCTGCTCTGGAAGGTGATATCTGAGCAGAGATCTGAAGGAAGAGGTGCGAGCCTCAAGGATATCCATTCCTGCTCCGTGAAGGTAAGACTCTGTCCTAGGGATTCTGACCTACCCCTTTTAGCCTTTTTTTTCTTTTTCGAGGGGCCACATAGCATAATGGTTAAGGGCACACATCGAGACTAGCTATATTTGAATCTTGGTTCTGCCACTTTTTTCCTGTGTTACCTTAAACAATTTACTTAATTTCTCTGTGCTGCTGATTCTTCATTTGTGAAACAGGGATTAAACGAGTTACCGTATGTGAAAGTGCTCAGGGAACAGTGCCCATAGCACATGGCTAATTTTTATATCGTGCTTATCATTAGTATTACTTTGATCAATTAGAAAAAAAAAACTTCTAGGCTAAGCACATGGATTTTACAGGCTGGTGCACAGAAGTTAGGACACGGGCTGTACGTGTGTATATGTGCTATGTGCTGAATATGTTCGTTCGTTCATTCAACAGAGTATTCACCGAATGCCTCCTGCAGCACCATTCCAGGGGCTGGGATCAGCTGCCGGAAGAGACAGAGCCTCTGCTCTCAGCACGCTTACAGTCTAGTGGGAAGAGACACACAATAAACAAGTACAGGAAATGATAATGACATGTGCAGTTGTCATAAAGCAAACAAACGAAGTGATCCCCCCTGTGGGTGTGCCGGGGGGGGGGGTACTTCACATAGGGTGCTGAGGGAAGTCTTCTCTGAGGAGGTAACATCTAAAAAGGACTACTCTTGAGGGAGCAGGAGGTCAAAGCAGTGGGTCTGGGCAGAAGAAATACCAGGTACAAAAACCCTGAGATAGGGCGTTTAGAGCATTCAAGGAGCAGCAGGGCAAAGGCCATTGTGCTCAGGGAGCAGGTCATGGGAAAGGGTCAGAGAAGTAAGGCAGGTGTCAGGCATGAACCGGAAAGGCAAGCAGGAAGAAAACCAGAACCGGTGCCTTCTCCAGGGGGCTTCCAACCAATCTCATGGACAGACGCAAAGCCACAGCTGTGACCACTGCCAGCAAGAAGTTACAAGACCGAATAAAAAGATTTCATAAGAAGGTGTCACCTTGGGGGCGCCTGGGTGGCTCAGTCGTTGAGCGGCCGACTTCGGCTCAGGTCACGATCTCACACTCCGTGAGTTCGAGCCCCGCGTCGGGCTCTGTGCTGACCGCTCAGAGCCTGGAGCCTGTTTCCGATTCCGTGTCTCCCTCTCTCTCTGACCCTCCCCCGTTCATGCTCTGTCCCTCTCTGTCTCAAAAATAAATAAACGTTAAAAAAAATAAAATAAAATAAAAAAGAAGGTGTCACCTTGTCCGGGAGGATGGAAAATAACTTTCTAAAGAAGCTTGGGAGTAAAGGATGTAAAGGATAAACAGACATCAACTGCAAGCAAGGGAAAGGAAGAACATTCCAGATGGTGAGAAGAGCGTGTGCAAAGGCCTTGCAAAAAAAAAGAAAGCCTGGTGAGTACAGGGACTGAAAAAGGTCAAATTTAGCTCAAAGGGACAGGATGAGGGGCTCCTGGGTGACTCAGCTGGTTAAACATCCGACTCCTGATTTTGGCTCAGGTCATGATCTCACAGTTCACGGGTTCAAGCCCTGAGCCAGGCTCCGAGCTGGCAGTTCAGAGCCTGCTTGGGATTCTCTCTCTCTGCCCCTCTCCCATTCGTTCTCTTTCTCCAAATAAATAAACTTAAAAAAAAAAAAGGGACAGTAGGAGAAGAAGAGTGGTACCAAACGAAGCTGGAGAGGTGGGCGTGGCCAGAGTCCAAAGGCCCCTGTGGCTGTGATAGTGTCCCCAGCAGCAGGATGACACATGCCCTCTAGAAGGACTGCTCTGACCCCCTGGAGGTTGCAGGGTAGGGGCGGGCAGTGGGTTAATGGGAGGCGGGGAGGCCGAAGGGATTGGTGCACGGGCGAGTCGGGTGATGGGGAGAAGGTGAAAGTTACAAGACGTGGTCAGGTCCTTGTCACAGGAGGTGGAAGACGCAAGTGCCCAAGTTTTCATGAGCGCTGGGGGGAGCTGTTCATTAAGGCAGGAACTACTGGGAGGACTTCGTCCTGGGCGGGGGACTATGAGGTCGGTCCTGAACCCCTGAAGTTGAGGATTTCACACCCGACAGCAGATGTGAAATATGCAGCGGCTGCAAGGAGAGGCCTGGGTTTCCTCGTACACAGGAACTGGCGAGAGGACTTCCGTCAACCGAAACGAGCACTTAAGGAGCATCTGGGTCACAGCAAGTACGCCTATGGCAGCTTTCATTATTGGTAACGTTACACTGGCTCCTGGCTAATGCACTGGCCAGTCCCTTCGACTCAAATTGGCAAAGAAACCTGCTATTTCCAGCATCAAACTGAAAATCACTTCCCACCAATCTTCTCCAGGTTCGTTAGTAGCGCGTCAATTCAACATAAATCAAGTGTTCACATCCACCTGACACGTGGCACCGCGTGTGACCAACAAGGGCGGCAGTCCCTGCTTGCAGCAAGTTGTGGTCTCGCTAAACAAGACGTCCCTGCACGCACACAGGTGCACGGCCCATGTGCACCCCTGCGACCCGGAGAGGTCACAACGTGACACAAACGATGGTGACGCAGTCTGAGAGCGTCGCTGGCGTTTGAATCCTGGTACCTACGGCCCCCAAGTCTCTACCAAGAATCCTAGTAGGTCCTC